TATTTTATTATTGAACCAATTATGGAGAAATAATGATCTATTCTTGGATAAGATGTAACGATTATTCCAGATAAAACATTTATGAGGGGAAAAATTATGTTTATATATCAAGATCCAAGCATTTAGTTCGCTCAGTCGTCACCGTGTGACGGTCTGATAGTACTTCATACATTAAAAAAAACAAAAAAAAACAACGATACTGTACTTATGCCATGTCATTTTATTTACTTTTGTTTTTCATAAATGTGCTATTTTAATGTCTTGAATTTGTAAAAAAAAAAAAAAAAAATCATATTTTTATTTCTCACTAATGAAGCGTTCGGTGAATGTGCATATGGACTGGTTGGGTTTGGCACCTCTAACAAGGTTAAGAACCACTGGCCTAAATCCGTGCAGCCTTCGAATCCATCCTACAAATCTGGCCATCATCTTTTATGGAGTTTTCATGTAGAAGGGACCTGAGCTTTGCTTTGCACTTGCTCTGCCGTTCTACACTCGTGGATGTCGACAGCACCACTGCATCCCAAGACACCCCATGTTCGGACACGGCAGTTTACTTTCAAATATATTTGTATAAAATCTTATACCATAACATTGAGTTTTATAACTGTATAAGCATGGAACCTACAAAAAGAAAGCTTAAACCCTCTTCTTTCATCAGGAAAAAAAGTATATTTCTAACTTTTACCATTCTTGAGTAAACAGCAGTTGAACATTGATAATTAAAAAAAAAAATACTGTACTCGTTTCCCAGAAAAAGGAAGAGCTTTTTGTGAAACGACACATTTAACTCTTCCAGGGACAGCTGTTACTGCAGTGGACAGCTTTGGGTATCAGGTTACAGGGTGCATGAAAGGATTAAAGCAGAACTTTCACTTTGATGCTATTTTATTTTTTGCATTTGTGAAACCTAAAAAAACAATGATTTAGTAAATAACAAAACACACACAAAAAAAAACGTCACTTTCACTGCAAAACACTTGATTGCAAGATAAACATTGCAAGGATGCATGACCTATGCATGAAGTTTTCATGAACATTGAAATCTGTGTGCGTGTGTGTGTGTGTGTGTGGGCGCCTGCGTGTGTCTGTTCATCAAGGACTACTATGGGATTTCGTCATCTTTTTTAAAATTGAAACATTTCTGATGTAGTTAGCTGCCAGTATTTGTTTTTTCCATGTTCTCACCACCACACTACTTCCGCACGTCACCTCGCGACGTAAGATCGCCACGCCCCCTCACGATGTGTGCGACCAAGATCTGATCAAAGCCAGTCCTGACATCTAGTGGTGATATATCATACTGAAATCATTCCCATACTCTCGATACGTACTGAGGAGGTCCGCAAGCCCTTTATTAACAATAATAATAACACAAACAACGTATTTATACGCTTTGGCACTACAGTAAATGACTTGGTTTTTGAAAACGTATTTTTACATTTTGGCACAAAGATGAAGCAGAAAACCGCGGCAGCTCATTGTTGCCCTAAGGCAGCTGAAAACAGACATACAGGTACCTTCATGTTTAACCTGTTTGTGTCGACCCACAGCGCAGGTGGACACAGAGAGAGTAAAATCAATTTTCCAGTATAACTCAAACGTTTCCAGGATATTTGACTTTTTCTCTTATTTTTCGTGATTGTAAAATTGGTAATTTTCCAGGTTCTACAGGACGCTTGTGAACCCTATTGCCAAAAATGTTCAACATTTTGTTATGCTTCACCTCATATCAAAAGATTTACCACAACCACTTTTTTATTATTTTCTAACATTGTATTTTTAATTGGGTTACACAAACACAAAAATTCCTAAGTGAGACGGGGCAAAATCCTACTTCGTGGTTTTTAAATTTTCGCGCCCATGACCAATTAACCACAAAAAACGAGTGACTAATGAACATTATATATCTATATACACACACGTACACACACATGTTGATTATTCTTAGAAACGTAGTTTCCTTTCATCCCCAGTTCCAAAATCCCATCTACTCGCAAGCAGCAGCAGGTGTGTGCGTGTGTGTGTGCGTGTGTGTGTGCGCGTGCGCAGGGGAGCTGAGAGACGATGTAGCTATCGTGGACCCCCGCATACTTCACGTTTTGCTCTATTTATTGGGGGTTTCTTTTTTGGCATTTGCTTTGTTTTTTTGGGGGGAGTGTGAACCAATCCCCGTTGTCATGGAAAACACAGAAAACATAATTTGCATGTTTTAAATATTTGGGGTTAAATTTTGAATCACACCCCCAATGCATTTTAATTGCGGTCATTTCGACACTTTTTTGCGATTCACTGGCCACCCCAGTCCCTGCAAATAGCAGAGGTCCACTGTCCTGCCGCTATTTAACAGGAGTTGACCGTAACTCCACATGAGACCTTAACTTATTGGGGACTGAGATTGCGGTCCACGATTTGAAAACCAATCATCATCGCTCAACAGACAATAAAATCACAGTTCATTTATTTTAAGTCCATCACATAAAATGTGGTTATCTCATACATGAAAAAGACAAAACATATGTCAAGGTAAAATCATGAAATGTGTCTCCTTGGTTATTTTGACAAATGAGCTTTCCTGTTCTATTTTAAACTTGCTTCAACTCAGAGTGGTTCTCTTCACATTGAACTTCTACAGTATTTCTCAGTTAAAATGCTTCTCACTGCCATTTGATCAGCACAATGAAAAGAAGGACCATAACAGCTTCTACAAATTCAGTGTTGCCACATTTTTTTTCCCTCAATACAGTTCTGGATGAGTGGAGTGTATACGTGAAAGTCTAGTGGGGTGGCCATTAGTGATCTTGAGCAGGTCCATCAGGCCTCAGAGCTCAGGGTTGTCCGAGTTGGACTGGGAGGGAGCCGTGCTGCAGCGCTGTGTTCAGTACGAAAACTGTAATCATACTGATCAAGAAATGTTTGTTAAAATTCCAAGCTTATTCAAGAACACTCATGACATTTTATGTCCATTTTACTTATCCTTGTTGAATACACGGCATCGTGGAGACATTAGGGCTGAGCAATTAAAAAAAAATATATATATATTGAATTGGGATTTTTTTTCTGACAGGTATTGTGCTTACGATTTGATCGGATTTTTTTCCAAATCAAGCTTTAGTGCAATTGTCACTTTGTGCAGTAACATTTACAAATCCATCCATCCATCCATCCATTTTTTTCCTGACTTATCCGGGTTCGGGTCATGGGTATCGCAAAAGCCTTTTCTGACTTCAGCACAATGGTATGTTTGCTAAACAAAAATACCGCAAGTAAAAATACACTTGATATGTGACCCGTCCATATATGAACTTTCATGCTCCTAATCAAGCATTTTTTTTGCAATCAAATCAGTATGCTTTAAATACTCACTTCTTTCTCAATTTCAGCCAACGTTTTGATCGTAATACCAATGAGATCCATCTGCTGCAACTGAACGGGAAGACAATGTTTATTGAACAAGCCAGACAAGTCACCCAGTCATGTGAAATATCTCTACAAATAATGTCATGTTACGCATAATAATTGGAAATTTCTTGTTACCAACTACAGGCTGAACTCTGTTATATGATGTAACACACACACACACACACACACACACACACACACACACACGCACACACACGCACACACACGTATTTAGCATGTGCCTAACGTGTCCACTCTCCGCTCTCCAAGTGAACTTGGTTGCAGGACCAGACCCAGGGCAAGCTGGCAATTAATTGTAATGTCTTCTACTTGTCCACCATTTTTTCCAGACAGTGGAAGAAATGATTTCATAAACTTTTGAGATATTCTTAAATTCCTTCCTAAACCCATAAGCTGCAACAATCTTCTTTCTGAAGGACTCAGGCAGGTCGTTTGACCTCACCTGGTGCTGACGCTCTCCATTTATATTGTTTCGTTAGATTACTTGACAGTACTGTATTGTTAGAATTTATATTTGATATTTGTGTTTACATTTGTTAAAAAATGTTTATATAGGGGGTCCTGATTTGTACACGATGCGTTTACACATAAATACAGCTTAATGTTTTTTCATTACCGTATTTTCCACACTAAAAGGCGCACTGGATTTTGAGGCGCACCTTCAATGAATGGCCTATTTTCTAAGTTTTTTCATACGTTGGGTATTATAAAACGCAATCTACAATACATCCACTGGATGGAGCTACGCTCAAGGAAACGCCAACAGAACACTACACTCCACCCTGATTTATGTAGCGACGATCAGATGTCAGTAAAACTTATTTAATGCAGCAACGACACAGTTCACTTAACCACCAGCAAGTTATAACGACTGACTCGTTCACGTTGAACTCTCTTGCCGTTGCTCTATTTCCGTGTTCAACTGCGTAACCCAATCACCTTAAGTTTGAACTCTGTGTTGTAAGCATGTCTCTCGCAAGGAGCCCTTTTGGGGTCGAAATATTACCGTAATGACCATACACAAGGCTTTTCATATTTTAAGGTGCGCGGTCAGCTTTTAAGAAAATGGAAGGCTTTTAAGTGTGCCTTTTAGTGCGGAAAATACGGTACTAAATTACAGTACAGGCGCTCCCCGATTTACGAACATTCATGTTATGAACAACAGTACATACAAACATTTTTGCGGGTACAGGTATGTCGAAAAATGTTCTCGGACAGAGATGCTGTAAGTTAGATTTTGTATTGCGCGCCTTTTTCCGAGTACTGTAGTACTTCTTTCCGCCGCTAATACCGACGTGAAGCGCTGTGAGAGGAGGAGGAGGAGGAGGAAGCGCCTGTCCCCATGAAGAAGTTTGAGACGGAACTCTTAGCCGAGGGGTTTTCGCTCATAGATAAAGCCATCGCACTCTTCGAGCAGCAAGACCCAAATATTGAACGTTGCACAAAGGTTGGTGTTAGAGCCATAAGGAAATTTTGGTTGAATTATATATATATGTAGCTTTTTGAATAATTAGAATTTAATAGATGCAAGCCGTTTGGTTTATATTTGATATTTTATTTAGAACAAATTTATTAAGAATATCGAAGGATCTGGGCTCCATTGGTTGTCCTGTATTCAGTCTGTTGAGAGGCTAGATTTACGTAAGCATGATTAGGAAGACAGTAGGGCATGGAGCAACACCTTATTTTTGACCGTACTTCGTGTTTATGTATTTCGTACTTCATGTGAACTGATTTCGTATTTCGTTTGGGTGTATTGTAGAAGTTTGTTTTTTTTTGTTTTTGATAAAGCCTCGATTTGTGTTCAAGAAAATAAAGCGAATCCTCTTTTTTTGGATCAAACATGGCGGCCTCATGTTTTCCTTGTAGTCGTCGTGGAAAGGAAAGGTCCGTCGAAGAAAAGCACGAGTCAGAAACCTACATGCCCTGCTGACGTAGCGACAAAAGGATAAAAAGTTGCCGCTACACTTAAGTCAAAAATAAGTTGCTCCGCAAGAGGATCGAAAGACGACCCGCGACACACGGTGGCAATTCGTGCTCGCTGGTGTGCCGCTGTTGGAGGAGCAAGAGGAAGAACGGACATTGGCTTGTTGTTTCGAACGCCGTCAAAGGACCGCTTGGTTTTCCTCGGCACCTTTGGATCGACAACGGCGCGATATTTTGGAAATACTTCATTTCGTGGACATTGGAAGACAACATTTGTGGCGTGCTTCATAAGAACAAGCACATCGCATGACGTCATCCAGCGACCTGCAAAGCAAAAGTAAGTGGATTCATCGTGTTGAAAGTATCGAGGCAACTCAATTAATATGGAGCAAATGGAAATCGAATCATCCACTAAGAGAGTACCAAAACTAACAGCGAAAGCTCAAGAAGACAAGCTTCAACAGCTTAAAGGAGCAAGAAAAGCTAAGTTACGGTACCTTACAAGGAAGATGAAGGAAATTGAGGCTCTTATGGATGATGCTAACAATGCTGGAGATGTGAATGCCATAATATCTGGTGACTTTGCAGCCACGTACATTGAGTTTTGTGCAGCCAATGACGCAGTTAAAACTCTGATGAGTGATGCACAAGTTTTTGATGACCAAGCCCAGTGGTTTGAGCCCAAAGCCAAGTATTTGAATGCCTTTGTGGAAAAGAGTGAAAGTTGGCTACAAGAAGTTAATAAGCAAGAAAATGAGGCAAAAAGACTTGACGCAGAGATCGAGCCTGCAGATAGTGTTTCGTTGATACATTCTCAGAACAGTAAAAGGCAAAATGCTAGCCGACCGTCTTCTGTTGTATCTTCTGCCGTATCTTCTACTGTGTCCGCAACAAGTTGCAAAGCAGAAGCTCAAAAGGCGGCTCTGTTAGCACGTGTAGGAACATTACAAAAAAGAGTGGAAATTGAGAGACAAGAGGCCCTGCTCAAGGCAAGAAGAGAGGAGTTGGAGTTGCAAACCGCTATTGCTGCCGTGAATGCAAAGCTAGAGGTGCTAACTGTCAAAGAATCAGATTGTCCCGCTAACGTTGCATTCAGAGAAGATGTGACTGTAAACCAGAGAGGTCCAGATCAAGGTAGTGAGTGTAGCTTCAGTACTGTGCTGTCAGAACATGACGATTTTGGCCAAAAGGGTCATGGTAATCGGGCACAGAGCACCTTGCGTCATAGTGACACAGGGAGGAGTGATAGACCTCACCTGTTGAGGGACATGTTTGGCAATCAGTTAAGCACAGATCACGGTAGCGCTGTTGGTGTTCAAGATTTGTTGACTGTTATGCAGCGACAGAATGAGATCACTAAACTTTTGGTGAAGCAACAAAAGGTGTCTACATTACCACCAATTAATATTCCAGTATTTAGTGGCAATCCGCTGGAATTTAGTTTCTTTTTGAAAGCTTTTGAGCACGGGATTGAAGAAAGGACAGAGAGTAACAAAGATAGGCTACATTTCCTTGAACAATTCACGCAAGGGAGGCCTAAAGTTCTAGTACGCAGTTGTGCATACATGAACCCAGATAAAGGCTATGTAGAGGCTAAAAGACTTTTGTGCAAGAATTTTGGAAATGAATATACAATTGCCTCCGCCTACATTCAGAAGGCATTGCAATGGCCTGTCATTAGGTCAGAAGATGGAGATGCACTAACAGAATTTGCTGTTTTCCTCACGAGCTGCTGCAACACAGTAGATAGTGTGGATTACATGAATGAGATGGACAGCACGACCAACATGCGCATAATTATATCTAAACTCCCATTTAAGATAAAGGAAAAATGGAGAGGAGTCGCATGTGACATTCAGGAAAAGTCAGGAAAGAAAGTCAGGTTCACAGATGTGGTAAATTTTGTCGACAAACAGGCAAAAATTGCTTCCCATCCGTTGTTTGGCAACATACAAGAACCTGCCTCACCAAAACAAAGGCATGAAAAGGAAAAAAGGGAAAATGCTAAAAGACACAAGGAAAAGAAAAGTGTTTTTGCTACTGATGTCACATCTGACACGAGCTCATCCGAGCAGGCAAAAGGGAACACATCCGCCGATGGAATTGAAAAGCAATGTGTATTTTGCCAAAAGAAAGGACACACCTTGGATTGTTGTAGAATAATCAAGCAAAAGCCAAACAAAGAAAAGCTTGATTTTCTGAAGTCTAAAGGCCTGTGCTTTGGATGCTTAAAACAGGGACATTTAAGTAAAGGCTGTAAGCAAAAACAGATCTGTCAAACATGTTCTAAAAAGCATCCCACCATCCTGCATTTTGATCGAGAGGAGTCTGCTTTCTCTGCGGAGGAGAGCCAGATAACCCAACAAACCGTCCAAAGTTCAGCTTCCACCGACAATGAAACTTGTGGTTGTACTGGGGCCGGAGAAGCAGCCTGTGCCCTGTCAATCGTTCCAGTGAAAGTCAGGTGTTTGAGGAGCAACAGAACAGTTGAAGCATATGCGTTTCTCGACCCAGGAAGCACTGGAACCTTCTGTACAGAGGAGCTAATGAGGAACCTTATGACAACAGGAAAAAAGACAAATATCTTGCTTCGAACCATGGGAAAAGAAGGGATTGTCAGTACCAATGTCGTCATGGGACTGGAAGTCAGTGCTGTGGATGAAGATAACTTTATCAAGCTTCCAAAGGTTTTTACACAGTCTAAAATCCCATTTAGAAAAGAGAACATCCCACAACAAAGTGATGTGGATCGATGGCCATACTTAAGAGATGTTCAACTAAAAAGAATTGATGGAGAAATAGGTTTGTTAATCGGAACAAACGTACCAAAGGCACTTGAGCCGTGGAAAGTCATAAACAGTGATGGGAATGGGCCATATGCAGTCAAGACTCTCCTAGGGTGGACTATCAATGGTCCTCTGAAGGAAGAAAATGCCAGTGGGGAGAGTTCTGAGTGGCCTCGAGTAACAGTAAACAGGATCTCAGTGGCAACATTAGAGGAGCTCACTGAGCGACAAATAAAGTTGGACTTCCCAGAACATGATATGGCTGAAAAATTGGAAATGTCATTTGAAGACAAACAGTTCATGGACTCTGTATCAAATTCAGTGAAGATGGTTGATGGCCATTACAGCATTGGCCTGCCTTTTAAGAACAAAGACATAGTTTTCCCAGATAATAGTGTCTTTGCAGTACAGAGAGCAGAATGTTTGAAACGGAAACTGATAAAGAACCCGCAGCTTCATCAGGATTACTCTAAATTCATGGCACAAACGTTGACGAATGGCTATGCTCAGGAGGTTCCTACAGAAGATGATCGTAAAAGTAACAAGAGGACGTGGTACATCCCACATCATGGGGTTTACCACCCAACAAAGCATAAATTACGGGTGGTTTTTGATTGTGCTGCCACATATCGAGGCACCTCCCTAAATTCATGTTTATTGCAAGGGCCTGACTTGACAAGCTCTCTCATAGGAGTACTAACAAGATTCAGGCAGGAACCAATAGCCTTCATGGCTGACATCGAAGGTATGTTTAATCAGGTCAAAGTTCCCCAGGAAGATGCTGATGTGTTGAGGTTTCTGTGGTGGCCGCAGGGAGACCTCAGTCAGCAATTAAAAAAATACAGAATGGTCGTCCACATTTTTGGTGCAACCTCGTCGCCAAGTTGTGCGAGTTATGCATTAAGAAAGTGCGCGGAAGACAATCAAGCACATTTCAGCTCAACAGCTGCCAACACCATTTTGAGAAACTTTTATGTAGATGATTGCCTAAAATCTGTTGGCACTGAGAAACAGGCAATTGCTCTCATACAAGACCTAGAGGCTATGTGTGCTGCTGGTGGCTTCAAACTCACAAAGTGGGTTTCCAATAGCAAAAGCGTGCTCGCATCAGTACGTGAGGAGGAAAGAGCCGATAAAGTCAAGATGCTGGATCTGGAGAATGATTGTTTGCCAATCGAAAGAGCTTTAGGAGTCCAGTGGTGTGTGGAGGCAGATACATTGCAGTTCAGGGTCTGCATACAAAGCAAACCACTCACAAGAAGAGGAGTGCTTTCAATGGTCAGCACTATTTATGATCCGCTTGGTATCTTGGCTCCAATTATCCTCCCGGTGAAGCACATTCTGCAGGAACTATGTAGGACAAAGCATGCATGGGACGATGACATGCCAGAGGCACTGGCTATGCAGTGGCAACAGTGGGTGATGACCTTAGACCACTTAACCACCTTTGAAGTAAAAAGATGCATTAAACCAGCCAACTTTGGAGAAATTACTTCAGCACGGCTTCACCATTTTGCAGACGCCAGCGAGAAAGGGTATGGTGTAGCCACCTACCTGGTCTCAAGAAACTGTCAGAACCAGACTCACTGCGCCTTCATCATGGGAAAAGCTAGAGTTACACCTTTGAAGCCAGTGACTATTCCCCGACTTGAACTGACTGCTGCAGTTGTAGCAGCAAGAATGGATAAGATGATAAGAGCTGAGTTGGACATTAACTTGACAGACTCTATCTTTTGGACGGACAGCACATCAGTCCTCCAGTACCTTAAAAATGAAACTACGAGATATCGTACATTTGTCGCTAATCGAGTAGCTGCAATTAGAGACAGAACAGAAACATCACAGTGGAGATATGTGAACACATCTGCCAACCCAGCAGACTACGCTTCGAGAGGGCTGACGATTGATGTCTTTCTCAAAGCAAAGACATGGATCATGGGTCCAGACTTCATATCAAAGCCAGAGTCTGAGTGGCCAGCAGTGCCAGACAATGTTCACCAAGCTATCACTAACGATCCTGAGGTGAAAGAAGTATCAGTATATGCATCTGCTGCAGAGGAAAGCATTAACGTGACACATCAACTCATTCACCATTACTCAAGCTGGTATCGACTAAAGCGAGCAGTTGCATGGATCCTTAGATTGAAACAGATACTGAAACTCTTCTCTTCAAAAAGAAAGGAATTGACATCTGCCAAAGAGGAAAATGTAGACAGTCAAAGGCTTAAAAAACAAATGAGAGACTTCAAGGCAAAGTTTCACACAAATCCCCTCTCTGTAGGTGACATGGAAGAAGCTGAAAGGTCAGTTATACGCTTCAGTCAAGCAGCCAGGTTCCCCAAAGAAATTGCTATGCTTGGAGAGGGAAAGCTTGTTTCAAAGGATAGCTCTCTCTACCGGCTTTCGCCAGTTTTCCAAGATGGCGTTCTTAGAGTGGGTGGCAGATTGAACAAAGCATCGATGCAAGAGGAATCAAAGCATCCTGTAATTTTGGCTAGTGATTTGCACATCACCACTCTTATCCTTAAATCTGTTCATGAAAAGCTTGGACACAGTGGTAGAAATCATGTTTTGGCAGAGGTTCAGCAGAAGTATTGGATATTGAAATCCCATGCAGCTGTCAGGAAAGTACTCTACCGGTGTGTAACCTGCAGACGTCACCATAGAAAACCAGAAAGTCAGCTCATGGCGGACCTTCCCAGTGAGAGACTTACACCAGATGAACCACCTTTCACAAGTGTTGGTGTGGACTACTTTGGTCCATTTGAAATCAAGAGAGGTAGGGCCATGGTGAAAAGATACGGTGTGATTTTTACTTGCTTGACAGTGAGAGCTGTACATGTCGAAGTGGCAAATTCATTAGACACCGATTCCTGTATTCATGCGCTACGCAGGTTCATAGCAAGAAGAGGACAAGTCAAGTTGATACGTTCTGACAATGGAAAAAACTTTGTCAGTGCTGAAAGGGAACTCCGAGAAGCAGTGCAGTCCTTAGACAACACAATAATTCAAAGTGTCATGTTGCAAAAAGGAATCACATGGATATTCAACCCTCCTTACGCTTCCCATTTTGGAGGAATATGGGAAAGGCAGATAAGGACACTGAGGAAAATTCTCAGTTCAATACTTCACCAGCAAGCAGTGGATGAGGAAGGACTGCATACCCTACTGTGTGAAGTCGAGGCTATTATAAATAGTCGCCCCATCTCAAGAATCTCTACAGACCCAAATGACTTGGAAGCGTTGACCCCCAATCATCTATTGCTGATGAAGGCCAAAACATCATTGCCTCCAGGATTATTTGACAGGAAGGATGTCTACTCTCGTCGCAGATGGCGCCAGGTCCAGTATCTTGCGGACTTGTTCTGGCGTCGCTGGACTAAAGAGTACTTACCGGACTTACAAAAGAGACAAAAGTGGTCTCGTCCACAGAGGAATATCAGTGAAGACGACATCGTCCTCATTGTGAACGACTCAGCCCCACGAAATTCATGGATGATGGGACGTGTAGTCGAGACTATTAAGGACGTCAAAGGACAAGTACGCCAAGCCAGAGTGAAATCCAGCAGTGGCGTGTTCTTGCGTCCTGTAACCAAACTTTGTTTGTTGGTTGAAGGGGACATGTAAAATTTTGTTTGTCACTTTCATGAGACAGCGGTAAAGGCTGGTCTCCACCGGTGAGTCATGTGCTGGTAACCTCTGACTCCAAACTTTTTTGTTTTTGGACTTTAAGAAAAGAGTTCCTGACGTGACGGGAAGAGTCACTTGTACAATGGACATTCTCGAACAATTCATTGTTGTTATTTGTTTTTGCAGCTCATGGCTCTGATTTACTAATTTGGTAATTGTTTATGTTCACAAAGACAATTAGGGGCCGGAATGTTAGAGCCATAAGGAAATTTTGGTTGAATTATATATATATGTAGCTTTTTGAATAATTAGAATTTAATAGATGCAAGCCGTTTGGTTTATATTTGATATTTTATTTAGAACAAATTTATTAAGAATATCGAAGGATCTGGGCTCCATTGGTTGTCCTGTATTCAGTCTGTTGAGAGGCTAGATTTACGTAAGCATGATTAGGAAGACAGTAGGGCATGGAGCAACACCTTATTTTTGACCGTACTTCGTGTTTATGTATTTCGTACTTCATGTGAACTGATTTCGTATTTCGTTTGGGTGTATTGTAGAAGTTTGTTTTTTTTTTGTTTTTGATAAAGCCTCGATTTGTGTTCAAGAAAATAAAGCGAATCCTCTTTTTTGGATCAAAGATGGCGGCCTCATGTTTTCCTTGTAGTCGTCGTGGAAAGGAAAGGTCCGTCGAAGAAAAGCACGAGTCAGAAACCTACATGCCCTGCTGACGTAGCGACAAAAGGATAAAAAGTTGCCGCTACAGTTGGAAATCAAATGAATGATGCCATACAGTGCTACTGCATCATTTATGATGAGAAAAAGAAGAAAACTGTGCAATCGTCCATCATCTCCTTCAGCCTTCGAGTACATCTTCCAAAAGTAAGTTAAACTTCATTTTATTATACTTATATAAACCTTAAACACACTTATATAAGCCTGAAACATACATTCCATACAAAATATAGCACTGAAGCAACTTACGAACGAATTCAGCTAACGAACGATCCTTCGGAACGTATCTCGTTCGTTAGCTGGGGAGCGTCTGTACATCAACAATATGTAGATTTACTGAAAAGGATTTGAAAAACTTACATCTGATGAGGCACATGAAAACTTCTCAGAGATCATGAAGGGCACGCCGTCCATTGCTGAAAGACACAGATAAAGATATTCTATAGTCAGCTTTTGCAATAATACATCACAACTTTGTGTTATGGAGTGAGTAAAATGAGTAGCGCCTGACCGACTAATCAGCTGGACTATAATATTGGCTGATTAAGGCCTTGAAAGAAAATAAATAAATCAAGAAATAATGAAAAAAAAAAAAATCGGCCACATTTTTGCTGATTCAACGCCAATATAATATTACTTTCACAGACAAGTGTAAGCGCTGTTTAGCAGGTATGGGCAGGGGATAAAGGACATGCATGACTGACATTCTGTGTGAATTGCATCGATATTAGTCCTCCCATAAGCCCATTAAGACACAATGTCACTAAGTTTATTTTGCCGTCTATATACAGTATGTGTAACGAATAGAGTGCAAGTGGACCAGGTGTCGATATATTGTCCAACTTATATCCTGCATGCATGAACTTCGGATGGATTCAAAATGAGATGTTTCCAGCCTCGGTGTGAACTTGATGCAAGTTCTGAATTGTGACATGCACGTGGTTTTAAAAGAAGAATTAAATTGACTCAGATCTAACTTTAATTTGACAGAGGATTTGAGTCTCACCTAAAATTTGAGCTGAGGGGTGGAAAATTTGCACATTTGCCTGTCTGAAGAGAAAAGGGACTTCCCTTTTGGACCCAAGCTCTCTCACTGACCATGCTTGTCTTTTGAAAGACCTCTCGCTCTGTGGCAATCTTTATTTAGCTCTCTCTCTCTCTCTCTCTCTCCCCCCCCTGCAACCACTCGCAATGAAACTTCCAACTCTCTTGAGTTTTGGGCTCTCGTCCCTTAACCCACCAGTGGCAAGTTAGCCGTGACCACTCAGCTGCTCAAAGGATAAGGAGATGCATAAGCCGGCCTCGCTTCCGTCTGAAAGCCACGAAAACCACCCATGGTGGCGTTGGCAGGATTCTGTCACCGTACAGGGTCTGAGCAACGACAATCCGACAAAGGTTTTGATTTCCTACTTCCTGCCTTTTTTTTCTTCTTTTCTTCATCTGCAAACAAGTCCAAGATCCCAGACTCACTGATCAGATATAAGAATTATTACTCTTCTCCAAAAAGAATAACATTTTGGAGACCCTGAACATGAACCTTATCGACTCACATCAAGCCTGGCGAAATATTTGATATTTTCTTCGTGTACATAACGAGTACAGAAAAAAAGGATCTGTATTCCCCCATACAGAGATTTATTTGGAGCCTTATGTGTGACTGACGGCTATAAAAATTAGCAGGCACATATAGAACGCTCAGCTGTAAAAAAACAAACAAACAAACAAACAAAAAAACATTTGGTAGCCATACTATAAAATGTACAGGAAGCCAGCTATGAGTATTTGAACATCCGAATTTGGACAATTTTTACACATTTATATGGGTCATCCTTTTTTGCCAAATTGTACTACAGATTTCACCCGAGTGACTTCAAACATAGGCTGCACCATCTCAAGATTTTGCCAGGCCTTCATGAGTATGTGCCTGGGTTTTAGACTGTCAAAAACAGCATCATTTTTCTTTGGAAAGGGCAATCTCTTGGGCAACAGCGTGCGATAAAATAAAAAGATTTCACTAACTTTTCATCTTAAACATGTTTAGATGAAGCAGCCGAAGTTTGAAGAGTATCAAATTCATTTTGGAAGACACATTCATTAAAATAAAACCGACAAAAGCCCCAAAATGGTGCCCAACTCCAGAATAAGGTCAAAAGGGCAGATTTCCTGTTTGATTGAACATACGGCTCCCAAAGACTTTTTTTGCCTTTTCATTTTGATTTTCACAGTGAAATGTCCACCAGTGAATATTAAAAATTTGGAGGGCGAGCTCAGGTTTAGATGCTCAAAAACGGAAACAGCAAATGGCTTCGGCGACAACATACGACGAAATAAAAAGATTTCACAAAATGTTCAGATTAAATATCTTGAGATGAAACATGCAAAGTTTGAAGATGATCAGAAGTTTGCCGAAATAAAACCACTATAAAAGGCCGAAAACGAGGCTGAATTTCTAAATAAAGTCAAAATGGCTGATAACAGGACGTCTGCCATTTTGATCTTATTTTGAAGGTTTAGTATATGGCTCCAAAATACTTTTTTGTAGGTTTTGGGCTGTTCCATGTGTCTCCCAATTTCAACACACACAGACCCAAACGACAACAGGAAAGCGTTTCAATCACAATTAGCGGGAACAAGCACCACTATGATGCTGTCACGCTCAAAGTGAATTCCCCAGTGGCTAATCTTTTGGAGAAGTTAATCTGGAAAAAAATGACAAATATAATTTGCCCAGTGCAGAAAGACTGGGACAAATTCCAGTTTAAACTTTGGAGAGATGTTGAATATCAAACCAGAGATTGCGTAGAGGTTGGAATTTTGGTGCTCGTAATCTGGTCGAGTAGGATTTTTTCCTCTGAAACTGGCAGGGAGAGTCATGGAAAAATGCCTGTGGGCAAAAAAAGGAAAAATTAAAAAACAACAACAACATGTTTATTTATTTACTCTGTGGTGACTAAAACTCAATTGGTCTATTTAGCTACAGATACAGAAGTACCACATTTTTCGGACTACAAGTCACACATTTTTTTCATTGTACCACTTAGCCTGCGACGACTACTCAGGTGCGACTTGTATCAATTAAAATTAGAACTCAGACTAACATCCAAAATTTAGAAGAGAAGAAAGAAGTAGTAGTATTAATCAAAGTGGTGGTCATGGCGGTGGTGGCAGCGGCGGAAGTAGTAGTCGTCGCCATTGTAGTGGTAGTTAGTAGGAGCAGAAGCAGTAGTAGTAGTAGTAGTAGTATCTGAAGCAGTAGTAGCAGTAGTAGTCGTTGTCGTGGTAGTAGCAGTAGTAGTAGTTAGCAGTAGTCGCAGAAATAGCAGTAGTAGTTGTGTCTTGGTTGCGTGGCTTCCAGTCATTTGTGGGTTAATTTTTTTGGTGTGCAATCAGACAGATTTCAGCTTCGATGTGTTACTCACGCAAAGATTATTTCATCCAATGCTCTAAGAACCTCGAGTAATGGCGTCGACCACACGCACGCACGCACTACTGAAATCCCTGGTTCTCCTTTTAGCCAATCAGATTGGAGATTCCTCTTATTGGTTCAACCATTATCGCTTCTGATTGGTTCAGCTCTATGTGCGGCCGAAGCTTGATTTACGATGGAAGACGATATCGGACCATGAGTGAAAATAGAATTCATTTTGTGATTTCCTCGCTTGATTTTCTGTTTTGATGCATTATTTTCAATTTTTGTAGTTTCATTGAAGTAAATTTACGTTTTTCAGAGGCGGTCATGAACGTCTCTCGAGTTGAACATCGAGGCGTAGCTCCATCTAGTGGATGCATTGTAGATTGCTTCTTATAATCCAGCGTATGGAAAAAATTAAAAAATAGCCCATTCATTGAAGGTGCGCCTCATAATCCAATGCGCCTTTTAGTGCGGAAAATACGGTGTGTGTATACACACACACACACACACACACACACACACACACACACACACACACACACACACACACATAAACTTTATATATATAATTTTTTTTTCAAATGAACCAGTTGTGAGGAGTTTCCACAGTACATTGTAGAAAAACAGGGAAAACCTTATATGAAAAAAAAAATCAACAAACAAATCAACATTAAGAGACAAATATGATTGTGCATACTTTGTCACTGAAGCTGGTGGGACAGGAGGTGAAGTGGAGGTAGAATTCACATTCTGGACATCAGTCACGACTGATGAGTGAGAGGAGTCTTGAGTTCGCGGCACAGTTCCCATACGATACCAGATACCCATGTTGTTTAGCTCTCTGTCAAAAAAAAAAGAAAGTCATGGTTACGCATCCAATATCAAAAATAAAAAGAGTTAAACCTAAAAAGCATGAACTGTAATGTGCATTTATGATGCTTCGGGCCTGATTTACTAAAAGTCTGCCTGCACAAAAATAGCCACAAACTTGATTGTGGACTCAAGCAGGTGAGAAACTAATAAGGCTGGATGATTAATCGAAATGTAATCGTGATTTCGATTTTTAAAATGTTATTGTAGAACAGGGGTGGCCAACCCACGGCTCGCGAGCCACATGCTGCTCTTTAGCTGGTTCAATGCGGCTCTCGGGCTTTCACATGACAAGCGTCGAACTCCCCCCCCCCACCCCCCCCCACTTCCGCGGTGGCGCTGCCATTCAAACAATGGCGCCATGTACAGCAGAATTTACAATGTCAGCCTATCATCAATCCCATTACTTGATTGACATACAGGGCAAATGAATCACCGCTCATGCGCAAACAACGGTGCTAAGCTAGTCAGCGAATTACCTCTGATTTTCAGGCCGGGGCGCCCAATACGTCAATCGCGATCGACCGGGAGCCAGCGGACTGGTCCCAAGTCGACCGCAAGGGGTGGGAGGAGGAAATGGGGGCGAAAAAAACTGTGTGTCTGTGTGTTTCGATTTCATTCAT